GAGATTAATTTTTTTATATACAATAAAATAACATAAAACTATTTTAACAGTTAATTTTAAAATTTATACAAGCTGACTCAAAAGTTACCTAACTGTAAAAAAAATAAAAAATAAAAAATAAAAAAAGGAAAAGAAAAAACCGAACCCCACCGATCACGGTTCACTCTTTCATCCCCAAATCCAATTTCAAATCTGATTCTCTCTGCATGGAAATTCTCAATCCTAGTCCTCCACCAAATTAATTTAAAAAAATGACAATGCAATGCCACTATATAAAGGTTTTTAATAAATGTATTTTTGTTTAGTCGTACATATTGTACTAGAAGGAGATGCGGTCTAACTTTTTTACACAAAGATAAATAAATGTATTTTTGTAAGGAAATGATGTTGAAATAATTTTTTCAATTATTTTTTTTATACAATTTGACGTATTATTTAAATAATTAAATTTTTTTATTTATGTGAGATCTGTAATATTAAATATATTTACTCATTTAATAACATGTAAAAGTTATATCAAAAAATGATATAAAAAATTATTTTTATTAATTTTTTTATTATTAATTTTTATTAAAAATATAAATATTATATTTAATTTAATTAATTAAAATTATTTACATAATAATATTAAAATATATATTAATTTTTATAATTTTTTAAAAATATTAATTATAAAAAATATATTTATTATATTTTTAATTTATATGCATGACAAATATTACACATATCATAAACATATTCTCCAATCTCGTCCGTTGAAAAACGATCAAATTAACCAATTGGATTTTTGGTTTATCTTTCCTGATTTTTGTGAGATTTTCTTGGTGGATTTTCTCCGACAAAACTCAGGTTATGACGCTTATTATTATTATTTTTTATCAGTAAAGGTTATGAAACTTTATGAAATTTCGAGTTTTTCTCGGGGAATCTTTCGCTGTTTCCAATTTATCGTTCATTCTTCAAAGTTCACGTAAAATCTCTAGGTTTTACATAGTTTTGTCATTATGATACAAGGATTCACACTGTAAAACTTTCTTGTTAGGGGTTTTCCTTTGCATTTTAATGGGTTCTTCTATGTTCACTGTGATCTGCATACTCCATTCACTCATAGCAGTAACATGTGGCTCCTTGATAATGTTCTACCTCAAGGAGATCTCTGTATTCGGCCATGGGGTCGAAACGGCTCAAAAACTTTCGGGCTCGACTCCTCACGACCAACTCTTGATCCAAACATCCAATTCTTTTGCTGGGTTGCTTCTGTTTGTAGTTGGGTTCTTGTTGTTCCTGGTGGCATTTGTTGAGGACAAGGAGTTTCAGAGCTTTTTTGCCAAGGGATGTGTGCTTCTTCACATTTCAATGGCCCTTTGGAGGGTCAAGTTTGAAAGAAGGCTTGAGGATTTGGCTTGGGATTGGCCAAGGCAAGCAGTCGGGGATTTTGTGCTAGCACTTTCTTGGGTCTTCTTTTTGGTGTACACTTGGAGGGAAAAGTATGATTAATTCAAGAAAGTAAATAGATTTCATTCTTTTTATTTGTTTCTTATTATTTCTTCTATATATTTTCATTTTGGACTTGGAACACCTCTTTTAACTGTTCTTAGTTTAATTGGTACACAAATTCATTCTCCTATTTATCAATTGATATTCGATTTTTCGAAATAGATTATCAAAAGATTGTGCCTTCTGAATTTCTAAGCAATAACAGAAATTATTCTTTTTTTTTTATAAGAAAGAATTACCTTATTATGATCTTTCTTATCTAAAGAAGGAAATCTATAATCTAAGTTTACGTTGTAGAAAATGTTTTAAATTGGGAAGTTGTTTTTTTTTAAAAAAATTATTGCTTCAAACGTTTCCCTTAATAGACAAGAGAATTGCAAAAAAGGGAAAGTAGTTAGCTTTGCCGGATTGCTGAGCGGCTGGGGAAGCTTCTGCAAAGGTGTAAAGGGAGGAGCTTTATGTTTTGGCAACCCCCACAAGAAAAGAAACACCAGTAGTTGGCTTTGCCGGGTTGCTAAGCGGCTGAGGAAGATTCTGCAAAGGTGTAAAGAGAGGAGCGTTATGTTTTAGCAACCCCCACAAGAAAAGAAACACTAGCGCTCTACAGAAGTACAAGCAAATGCCCATCTCCCCTTTTGGTCCAACACCCAACTCCAATTAGTTGTTGTGCCCAGAAAAAGCCCATAAAACAGAGAAAGTTGGAAGAACCCAACTGTCATGCTCAACAGGCATTCCATTGTGTGCCATCTTACGAGCGCGTCTTGCACACAGCCCAATTAGCTACCAACTTAGTTGCCTCAACAAGTGAGCCGAGCCGAAGTTAATCAATAGATCTTAGCACATTTACTATCTCCTAACCTGGCCTTCCCAACGGTCTAGAGAGAGGAGTAGATACGAATATAAAAAAGTCAGGTGGAGTGCGTTCCTTGTAACTGAAACTCGAATATGAGCTTGATATTGCAGTAATAAATCAAGTTGAATTTAAATTTTTATTGAGTTTAAATAAATTGAATTTAAGCTTGATTTATAAGTTTGTTTAAAAATTTAAATTTAATATAAGATTTAAATTTAAAACATTTAATGTATATAATTTTTTTTAATAAAATTGAATTAAGTTGAATCAAATTAAGTTAACTTAAGTTGTGTTGAGTTAAATTGAGCTTAAATTCCAACTTGATTTTTCAAACTCAAGTTCAATCTCGATTTATATTAGAATTTGATATCAAGTTGAATTTCAATTCTAATTCAAATTGAGAAGTTACCAATAGTTCAATTCATCTACAGCTCTAAAAGTAGCATTATCAAACCAATGGTTGTATCGATCTTGGGCTTAGCTAGTGAGGTGAGTGTGTGAATTCCCATAAATGAAGTGTCCTATAGTTTGCAACTTAACTTAAGGAATATGTAAGTGTTTTATATTGTTACAATTATGGAACAACTAACATGGATTACAAGTAAACAAGATTAATTATTGAAGATATATATGTAATATTATACTGATAAGTCACTCAAAAATTTTTGATAATTTATGGGCTCAAGCAAGCTTCAAGGGCTTGGTATGGAAAAATTGCTCAATTTTTGTGGTAATCTTGCTTTAGATTCTGATCATAGTTTGTTTGTCAAGAAATAATCAAACTTGCATATTATAATTTTGTTATATGTGGATGCCATGATAATAGCATGAAATGATGAAGAAATTGCAAAACTTTAAGAAGAGCTCTCTATTTGTTTTGATATGAAAAATCTAGGAGAGCTAAATTATTTTATTGGTTTAGAAGTTAAAAATTTGGAAAATGAAATTTTTGTAACTCAAAGGAGTAATGCAAAAACGCTTGTTGCAAAATTTAGCTTGAAGCAAGAAAAAATGCACTCTACTTCACTTGATGTCATATTAACCTAAGGTAAGATAATGATTTATTATTATCTAACCCTTGTTAGAAGTTTGATTTTGTTTGACCATAGCAAGGCTAGATATTGCCCTTTCTATTAGTCTTGTTAGCAGGTTCATGCAAGGACCTTGGAAGCCACGTCTTGAGGCAACTAAGAAGATTTTGAAGTATGTCAATACCACCATTGATATGCGATTGTTCTTCAAAAAAGAAGAAAATCTTTTTCTATTAGGTTTCACAGATGTTGATATTGATGGAGATTTGGATGATTGCAAATCCACATCTAGTTATGCTTTCTTTTGTTGTGGTACTAATATTTCATGGTGTAGTAAAAAACAAGATTTAACTTCTTTGTCAACTACAAAAGCAATATAAGGCTTTTTCTCTTGCAACTCAAGAATGTGTTTGGCTTTGAAGGCTCATTGAGGATCTTTGTTCTCTTATTCAAGGTTCAACTAGCCTTTATGAAGATAACCAAAGTGCTATTTAGCTTGCCACCAATCCAGTTTGTCATGCAAGGACAAAACACATTGAGGTGGAACATCATTTTATAAGAGAAAAGGTTTTGGAAGGAACCATCAATGCATTAGAGGTGAGAAGTCAAGATAATGTTGCTAACATATTTACTAAGCTCTCTCCAAAAGCTCCTTTGAGTGCTTCATTCTCAACTTGGAATTGTCTCTAGAAAATCACATTAAGGGAGAGTGTTAAAGATAACAAAGTTATTTTCTAGAGGTTCATTGTTTATGAATAGCTCTTCATCTTTTTAGAAGCTTATCTACATCTTTTCAAAATTCATGTACTTAAAGTTTTTAGTTCATGCATTCTCATTATTATGTTCCTAGTTTAGTGTGATTCATGTATTAAGAGTCTTATATATACCTATGTACCCTTTCATTTGTAAGCATCCAACTAATAGAAGACATTCAAAGTCATACAAGTCTTTGTTCCCTTTATCCATCTTTGAAGTTCTACTCATTTCTTCGATTTGCTTTTCTTCACCAAGCTTGCTGATCTTGGGCTGGTGTGAATTCGGCTAGTGTGAATTTGGTTGCACTAAGAATTATTTACAAAATAAAATAAACACACCCATGAAAATCCCTGAGTATATATCTTGGAGCTAGCAATTATTATTCCTTTTTCCCGACATTTACCATCACTTTTTTCTTTTCTTTTTTTTTTAAATGTTGGTTGCATAATTAACTGAAAATAATTCTCTCTCATTTTTTATTCCACTCCACTTATATATCATGCAATTTAAACTCATAACTTTTTTTTCTTCTAACAAAAAGATAGTATTACTAACCTATTTAAATCTTTTTACAATTTTAATTTAGAGCTTAACTCATTTGCCTTAAGATCGAGCTGAACCAAGTTAACCAAGCCGGCTAATACCAGTTATTTAACTGGGTCGTGCTGTCTACGCCAGACACCACCGTGACTGTGTTTTTTCTTTACTTCATTTTCGGGCAAGAATTGGAAAACAGAGACAGGAAAGAGAAAACAGGAAACAGGGAGAGAAAAAGAGGAGCAGAGTGAACAGAGTCAAGTCGTATCAGAAATAGAAAGCATGGAACAAGGCCAACAATCTGCACCCGGTTCACCAAAGACAGCCCCTCCACCGAAATCGTACGTTTTGTTCATGAATATCATGAGCAAAAGGAGAACATGGGTATGTCTCTTTGTGCTAGTGTACGCCATAATTCTGTCTTGTTCATGTAATTTCCTTAAATCCATACTGTCTTGGTACAAAATCCAAGCCCAGCACTCTTCTTCGGCTTCTGGGTGGCCGGCTCTGTATGCGTCAGTGCTTCTTGGCGCGGTTTTTGGGGCGCTGTCGATGGTAGCAGCTCTGGCTGTGGCTGTGCCAGCTACTTTGGTAATATGGATTACTATTGTAGTTTTGTTGGCTTTCTTTGGGAAGCCTAAGAGGACTTTGATGGTAGAGGGGAGGAAGATTACGAAAGAGATTATTGTGTTTTTGTTCAAGATTTTGTTGAAGGAAGGAAATCTTGTGGCCGCCGTTTGTGCTGTTTTGGGATACTATGCTCTTGTTCGACAAAATTCCGGTGAGATATCAAGTTGAAAGGTTGAGGTACTGTGGGTGATCTTTGTTTAGCATTTTAGTTGGTATGAGTTTTTGTTGGATATGAGGGATGGAGGATGGAAATTTTTCATATGGGTGGGATTTGGGAAAGTTTACCACTTTTCCTATAACATATATGGAGTTTAGTTTAGGAGATGTTAAATTGGAAGGGTTTTATGTAGCACTGGTTCTGCAAATGTTCTTTAGTTCTAAGTTCTAATGTAACTTCATTTTTTTTTTTTTTAATCAGCAAATCTAATGTAACTTCTTGCTAATGGAATTGACTAAGCTATTTAATTCGTTCTTAATTTATTTTCATGGAAAGTTTACTACTATTATATAAGACTCGTTATAGAACTTATCTGAATATGGAATCTGTATTACTTAAATTTTCTCACAGAGTTTTGAGCAGGTTGATCTACGATAGAATTATTTGTGGTAAGTGCTAAAGTGAGTGATATAAAGACAGGATTAAGTTATCAAAACATTGGCAGATCGACCACTGAAGTGACTGAATTGTAGTTGGATCCAAGGGTATATTAGGGTCTAAACAATCAGACATATTTCTGGTACAAAACTTTGATTGAGCAGAGAAATGGGTTGGAAGCTGGGATTTCTATCCAGTTATAGCGTTCACCAGCTTGCTATGGCTTAGCTTTAAAGTTTGTCGATTACTTCACTTGGGTTTTTTCATCTAATCTTGGCAGGTGAAGGTTTGTGGAGCCAAGAAGAGGTAATTCCCTCTAACATATCACTTTATTTTCTTGTCCTTTAGTTACTTTGCCCTCCATAATTCTTTTGATTTATTGGTTTCTGCTTGCTGCTGACTTCTATTGCATTGCAGTGGGACACACCATTTAAGTTTTTACCTAAATATTGGTGGGAATCCATTCTTCCCAGCGGCCTCCTCAGTCCACCGGCCAAAATAATGAATCATACAAGGGCTTAAAAAGTTATGGTCCAGAACCTGGTTCTGCTGTAAGTTTTAAGCTTACCTAGGCCACATACTTTATATTTATAGTCTCCATGTTTACATTCTGGAGCAAGATTTTCTGAATTGTTTTGGCCTATCTACTCTATTGGCTTTTTTTGTTAGCTGTTGAAAAAGTCTTTCTATTTTGTGAGGCATGTAGCATAACATTAAGTACTACAACTTTAGAACAAAAATTTATGGCTTCATTGGAGGAATTGAAGACTTATCTCCAGATTTTTGCAACCATGTAACAGGACAATCTTGAGCTATATATATGTATGCAAAACAAAATCTGATTATTGGAATATTTTTTTTTTTCTTTTCAGACATCTTTCATTCAGTAGCCTAAAATGGATTGTGGATGAACAGCATCAGAAAAAGAAGCAGGCAAAAAAGATGATCTCTTGATTGAGAAGAAAGTTTATCATTTAACATTTATACCTCAAATTAAGAAGTTCTATATATACTTGCAAAGATATCCGGGCTTCCATTTGGAAGAAATGATAGAGCTCATATCAAATTTTTAATGCTTCCATTGTGATATTCTTTTGCACTTTGATTGCAAGATAATTCTTGATTGGCTACCCATCCATAGAGAATGGGCAAATTTAGTAAAATGTATTCGTTGTATCTATATTTCTATTTCTTCTATTATATTGATTGTATTTGATTTAGCTTCTGAAATCCTCTTCTGCTCTAACAAATAGGAATTTACATTCTCATATCTCATCAGCCGATGATTATCTTATCAACATTGTTGTTGAATCTTGTGTTATGAAACATGTGTATGGAGTTTACTGATGGAAAACCAATTACTTTTCTTGCCATTTAGGTTTTGGGGATAATTTTTTAAGAGAAATGGTTGATTTACCTGGAAGGCATAGTAGAACAGATACTGCAGCTTGCTTGAGAAAAAAACCCAACTTGAGAAAAAAACCCAACTCAATCAACAAGACAAGATAGGCAAGCCAAGTGTGCTTACTACTAAGTATATGTCTGCCATGAAAGCAACTGGACATCATCATAAGTGCAACTCCAATAAGAGG